AAGTAATGAGGTTTATGAAATTGAGAGCGACAGGAAAAAGTCTGAATAATCGATAAGTGACATAGCTGGGGTACAAAAAAGCTACACTTGGCTCCTATCATTTTCTAGAGTAGGAAGAGTTTAATGCTGATTGTATGGGTGAAATTGGTGATTCTTTTCGATGGCGTTGATTTATGTCATAAAATAAAAAGAGAGCACTTTCAAGAGTTTGAAACAGAAAAGAGAAAGTCTGGAATGGCAATAATGCGGATTTCCGGAAATTTAAAATGCTGTCAATTCTGAGTCGATTTCATGCTTGTTTTGATGTGTTTTTTTTGTGTTTTCCAGTGATGTGTTTTGTTTTTCAGTTAAATGCACTTCTCCAGGAAAATATTCGGTGGTCGAACCTCGGGGAAGATTACAAGCACAATCTACGGTTGATCTGTAAGCAACCTCTTTTATGTAAAATTCCAAGGGCAAAAGAGTGCCGCCTTTATGAAATTTTTCGAGAATTATTGGAAGGGGCACAGATTTGCGCATTTTTACGAACTCCCAGATGTGTTATAGTGGTCTTTAATTCTTCCAGTTATGCGAGTTTGGCCACAATGGAGTTTTTTTTTTTTCAGGGTGATCCGGCATGTGGATGCACATCGGCGAACGAGTCTTGGTATCGATACGTTTCGCATCGAAATTCATCCAGCACATAACGAAAGGGTAATTTTTGAGGTTTAATGCCTGTAACTAATTAAATGAAACTTTGTGCATTCTTGGAAAAATTGCATTACAGGTTGACTTATTCTCTGTCTGCTTTTCTCCGTTTAATTGTCCATAAGTGTAGGTCTGTTTTTCACAGTTAGTCTAATCCCTTCTCTCCTATTCTAACAATCGATTTGAAGCAAATCTAGGATTATTTTGTCAGCGGGGAGAAATCAACTTCATTTTGATGAAAAAATTCCCTGGCTGCTTAATTTTCTTGCGCTCGAAAAGTCTTACTCCTCTGTTAGAATCTCGTACGTAATACTCCTCATATGCGCTCTTCTTTAGTTAATAAGCGAGACAAAATTTCGAAGTGGAGAAGCCAAGCAAACAGCCAATTTTTTGTTTAGTATTCGTAGTAATAATCCTAATGATGATAGTTTCAACAGTAATAATGATAAGAATAATATTAACAATAATAACGGCAATAACAATAATGATGATCGCGGCTAACAGAGGATGCACCCACACGGGAAACTTTTAGTAAGTTCATGCAGTTCGATTCGTATCTGTTTTACTTCACTCAACCTGCTTTTGCTCTACACGTATCTGGATCTGTGTACATCCTCGTAGCGCTGATAGATGGTAGTGTCGCTCCTTATATCCGTGTTTTTTGCATCTAAACTGTAACTCGCTGAACAAGTATGTTCCGGCGTGATATGATAAAAAGTTGAGCTCACATGAGGGCAATTCGTTGAGCCTGTGACTGCTGCTGCTGTTGCGCTGCTACTGCAGTTGCTGCTGCTGCCACTGCTGCTACTATTGTTGTCGTTGTTGTTGTCGTTACTGTTGCTACTACTGCTGTTGTTATTGTTGTTGTTGCTACTACTACTTCTTGCACATGCATATGCGCGAGTTAAAATTTTATAGTGTCGAGGACAGACAGATGTCGTGGTTCGTGTACTGGAAACCGCGTCTCCAGCCCTTGGGTCATCTTCATCGCAATCTCTACGATTTCAATCATTTCCAGCGAGCAAAGCTGGCCATTCTCGTCGCAGGCGCATGGACTCACTTGAGGTACTACTGAGTTTCCTAATTTTTCGAATTTGGCTAACGTGCTGTTCACAGATGACTAACATGCTGACGAATCAAAACACAGGCTCAGTTTGCTGTAGTCTTACTTGTATTTTGGGCTATCATCTGCTGCTGTTGCTGCTGCTGAGGATGGGAAAAAGGGAGTGCCAGAGCGCGAATTACGGATTCTCGTAATTTCTGTCTTATGCGGGACAGCGCTGCTTATGATTTGTTTCTCTTGGCAAGCTGGTAACCTTTTCAGAAAGCGAAACGAACGTAAGGAGCACCAGCAAGTTGACCATTACATTGGTCAGTGTAGCTAGAACATTTTCCAGTTTATATCTAGCGACCAAGCTGTGAATTACAGCTAATTTAAGCAAGTATTCCAAGTAGAAAAAAGATGACTTAGGATCTGCTCATTTTTTTCTTTTTTTAATCTTAGTTGTGCGGTTTATTAAAAATTTTCAGTTGTTGCAACCCTAGTGTCCTCGTAATTCACTGCTTAAGCATAGTCGTAATTGCCTCCTCTGTACCTTCAAATCAACTCAAAAAAACGTCCTTGAACAGTAGTACCAGTCTGTGATGACTGATCTACTTCACAGGTACTAGGCTACAGCACGCAGCGCTACTCATAATACACAGTTGTTCGGGTCAGTTATTTTTGCAGTGATAAAAAATTGCACAAAAACTGAGAAGGACAAGGCAGTGCAAGGGAAATACACACCTAAACGTTTACACAGAAATTCCGGGGGTTTACTGTTACCTGATGAAGAGGGCAGGCTCGAAAAAGATTCTTCCTATTTAATATAAAGTTAAGTTATTTGAGAATTTGCATGCTGAAAAAGGATCAATTCATTTTACAGTCTGTGTTTTATCCCTTAGCTGTAAGTACAGCCCTGCACACAAATGCAATACTAATGCGATGTGCGTAGTTTTGCTGCGCACGAGGATTGTTATGGCCGATGCGCAAGCATCAGAAACTGATGGCCTTTAACAAAAGTATATTGAGTGCTTAGAAAAACTCGAAAAATGATGCAAAAAAGTGAGGTTTTTTTCAGTCCTGCATGTCGCAGTC